TTGTGTGTAAATTCTACACAATGACTCTGAGGTGCTCAATCATTTTCTAACACCTCCTCTTTGCTCTCTGTACAGAACTGAAGAGAAAACCCTGTTTATATGCTTTTCTTTGTAATTCCTAAGACCAATCTTGTACATATTGTTGCTTGTAAATGGCTTTTTCATTAAGCAACTGTAAGATAGTGTGATATACTGTGAGAGAGGAAACAAAGAGGAGACGATCTCTGATAGCTGAATGTTACTGCGTGACCTCCAGAGACGAGATGATGGTGGTTGCCTCTTTGAAATTATTCTCAGTGTTTGTTTTCACACGTTAGGGGACCCAAGTGGAAGGGGTTTGCCGGAGGAGAATCTGCATGAACCAGAGTGCCATTTGAAAGTCAGATAAGTGTACTTTTCTTCGACGGATAAGTTGCCTCACGTTTTCGGAATTGTGCTACTGTGCTCCGACCCCATCCAGCTGGTGTTCCCAGTGAAGCACAAAAACACAAATACTGAGGTCTGCAGCCCTCCTGTGATGCAGAAAAATAGCATTTAGCTAATAAGTCGATACTGTCGATACCCCTCTACACTGTGTACTGGGGGACCTGGACCTGATGTTGGTTATGTGATCCACATTTTTTTTTTATGTGCATTAGAAGTGCTGAATCACATGACCCATTTGTAACTACACACACTCACTAATTGTAACATGCTTTCAATGATTGTACTTTTTTAAGGCTCTTGTCTTTTTCTTTTTTAAAGCACAGTTTTTTGGTTATCTTCAGGGTTTTTGATTACTGTAAAATCCTGACTGTTACAGGAAGTCACAGTGATGTTTGCTCATCCATCCACTCAGCTCACTGAAGACGAGCCATTCATGTCCAAATCCAATTCTCTCGACGATGATTAAAACGAACTGTAAACCTACCACGACAGAGGTGGAAATTGCTTTAAGGACTGTATAAAGAAGGTGTTCTTTCTTCACACCTTTTGTAGACTAAATGTTTCATATCTGATTCAGACATTTGATTCAGGGCAAATTCTTCTAGCGGAGAAAACGTTTCGTCCCCTGTTTTAATTCCAGAGTGAACTGTGATTATTCATGGACAAGGATGGGGACTGTAATCACCTACAGCAGGAGATGGCTTGTCATCTTTATACCATTAATACTGAAAACAGCATTATAGAGTATTGTCAGAGGTTCTGCGCTTTTCCCTCTTTTCTGTCAATCCAAGAAAATGTGATTACACTGTAGGTCTTCTCTCACGCTTTGTTAAATCGTGTTTCTCCTCCTTCCACTCCAGGCGTCCGGATGGTTTCGTTGAAAAGTCAGACCCTTCTCCTCGGCGTCTGATCTCTCCTCCTAGACATGTAGTTGCGTGTTCTTGTGCACAACTCCCATGTTAAATTGTAAATATGTTCATTTGCTTTATTTATGTTTTTGATGCCGTGATCAATCCTTTTGGGGTTGGTGTTATTACGAATGCGCTTCATTCGATGGAGTGCATTGGAATATGATGACTTCTTAAAAGTCTAAATTTAATAAACTGTTCTATACCGTTTGTAAAGTTTTGTGTCCTTCGTCTGGAGTCTCTGGGTCAGTGTGTTGGGGGTTGTTTTTGTTGCTTTTTTAAAATAACAATCACCTGTTCATCAGTCAGGATGACTGCTAAGAAATTCAGACACAAACAGGAATATTTCTTGAGGCAGCAGGCCTATAAATCATTTTGCTCTCTCTTAATTGACATATTTTCTCACATGTATATGATGCACTGAAATAGAAGATTACAACGTGACAGAGCTCACCTAATAATGTGCTTTCATACATTTTACAAAGTGAGCGTGAGTAAGAGTGATGAGAGTATTATATCAAAGTAAGCACCAGCAAGGCTGTAAATCAATAAAGATGAATTCAGTATAGCCTTAAAAACTGAGACAGACAAAACTGTATGACATCTGAAATATTTCATGATGCTCCTTCACACTTTGTTTTTTATAAAGTGCTTTACAAACATGAACATTACAGCGAACAGCTGGAATTTCCCGTTTCAGTGCAGCTGACCAAAGAGACAATTACAGCTAAAGAGACGGTGAAAGTGGACAGTATATCCTCTGTTTCTTAGTGTAAAACTCATTGTTACAGACAGGCAGCACAAAAGTGATCCCCTCAGTTAATGATTCTCTCACTAGTTAGCTAAAATAAACGAATGTAAGTCTATGAGCCACAACCAACCAACCATCCCAGTGACGTAACGGTCTGTGTGGCATAAGGTGGCGCTACACATGCATAAACATCACCAAGATGTGTGGCCTCTGCTCTTCAGTAAACTTGGGGGCTGCGGATGGCCTCCTGGATCCAGCTCAGTCTGCCTCTGACCCCTGGAGGGCGTTATTGTGGCTTCCCAACCTCATTATCGAGTACATTTGTGACACACACATACACCACAAGGAGATTGTCAAAGTCAAAATAAACTTTGTCATCTCTGCTATATACAGTACAGTATATAGAGAGGCTCCAGTTACAGCAGTGCAAAAGAACAACAATAAATATAGGAAGAGTAAGAATAAATATACACTTTGAGACTGAGGTAAGGGGAGTAAATATACGCTTTGAGGTAAAAAGGGATCATTTTAACAGACCTTGAGTGGTTTTAAACATATGTGGATATATGTATCTGTGTGTTTTCATATTTTTGTGTTCCAGGTTATTCATCTTTGTTTTTTCTTAGAGGTCCAGCAGTTGGGGAAAGTTGTGCATTTCTATTTGTACTCTATCCTTTTGTTATATTTTCCCCTATTTTCTCCTCCCATCTTTTTTCTCTCTCTCCTGCCTGCCCTTCTTTAGACATCGTCATAGTATACCACATAACGTAATAACTGAAATAACACAAATAGAAATGAATAAATAAAGAGTTAAAAGAAATACATGAAAAAGAGGAGCCTATAGAGATTTATACAGCTGATCTTGGAAAAAACACAATGTGTTTGGCACAACAGTGCATTCATCATAAATCTTAATTGCAAAAGCTGCCAGACAGGACAGGATTAAAAAAACAAACAAAATTTACCAGGTCATTCCATATAATACAGTGTTGATACGGGACAAACACCTTGAAGATAACCCTTATATCAAATTGTGTATAAAGGGAAGGCCCTCTTTTTGGCGTAACTTGATGTAATCAGCCACTTACAGATAGGGATAACAATGTGCTTTAACTTTGTAATCCTCAACGCTTGTAAAATCAAGTTAAAACTGGAGGTTATCTTCCAATAAAAACTTCAGCAAGGCTTTTTAGCTGTCAATGAGGAAGTACCATGCCAAAAACAAATCAGGTTAGTCTCAGAAAGAGAATTGTTGATGATCAGAAAGCAGGGGATGGACATACAAAGATATCACAAGGTTTCCAAGTGTCAAGAACTGGAGAGAGAAGTATCACCAAGAAACTCAAAGAGAGCCACACTGTACAGAATGAGCATGGCAGAGGTAGGGAGAAGAAAATTTCAAAGACTCTGGAAAGAATACTAGCCAGAGAAAAATGGCAAATAACCCCAGAACATCTGCCAAGACATGAGTGAATGATGGGAATTGTAGTCTCAAAGAACACAATCGCTAGAACTCTGCACAGTAATTGACTATGAGGTTAAAGACAGAAGAACATGAAGGACAGCCGAGAGAAAGATTATAAGAGATGAAAAGTACAGCTGTTTGGACACAGAGAAAGAATGGAGAAGCTTAAGTGGAAGTATTATGGTGTGTCTAGATCATAAAGCAGAGCTTGCAGGAGGCATTCTGCCCATCTGGTCTTTAAATTTCTTTTGGACTTATTTTTCTTTGGATTATAAATCCAAGTGAAACTTTTGCATTTTGTTTGGGACCATTTATCAGATATACAAAGGCTCACTTATGGTTCAGGATTCTGCCTTCAGTGTCTTGCATCAGCGTCGTCTCTCTACCACAACATGTAAGATGATTTGTGAGATTCTGCATCTCGGATTAGGATTCAAGGTTAATAGTTCTCACGAGTCTTAGTTTCACAAGTTATAACTAAAAACGGTGTCCTGTTGTGTGCGCATAGCATCATGGAAAGTCTAGTTATAGTACTATAACAGTCATAGTGGTATACACTTTTCCTCATATTCAGTGACGCATGACTATAAAGTTTAAGCTAAAGAGCCAAATAGGCTAACTTAACTTATATATGGCTATAAAATCATAACATTTAAGAGGCAATATTGTATAGGCTTATCAATTATCTGATTTAACCCTCTCAAGGCAGGCTTTGCCTATTTGCAACAGTTAAAAACTAACAACCTGATTACCGCACATACATATTTTATGAGTTTTTTTTACTCAGAAGTACCACTACAGGACTTGCATTAGCAACACAAAGTTTAATTTGAGCCTGAGAGGGTTAAAATTAAATGAATAAATAAACCCACGATATGAACTTAATGTAAACAGCTGCTGTTCTCAAGAGCATAAACATTTAAATCGTAAATAGTCTGATTTTAAGTGAAATATGCCCTGTAGTGGAAGCGGAGGAAGGAGGTCATATTTCTTATATATTATTATTTTGTATTAAAAATATTAAAATAAACATCGAACTACGCTTAGAACACGGGCAGCAAACGGACGACGGTGATTATTTTAGAGAAAAAATAATAAGAGAAAGCTGCTAAGGAGCTGTCTGAGAAAACGAAAGGACTTTTCCTGTCTTCCAACATAAAAGTTTAAAGCCCTGCGCGCTCTGCCTCCTTCCGTTGCGCATTTCCGTTGTCGTGACGTCACTTCTGGATGTAAATATGCGGCTTGGTGCGGCGCTGGGAAACACAACCACTGGAAAGATGTAAACCAGCTAACCGGCAGAAACCAGGTTCAGCGAAGACACTAAACCTTCCCTCCAGGGAAACCGTACCTCTGGTCCAATAAACGGAACTACATCAACAGGTAGCTCGTCGGCTCGCTACCTCCGAAGTCAGCGGAGCGCCTGCCTCTAGCAGCCATCTTTTGTGAGAGAATGTACGGGGCGACGCGGCGGGCCTGCTCGGGCTCTGGTCGGGACCGGAGCTCGCTGATGCTGACCACCGCGCTCCTTCTCTCGGTTATCGGGCTGCTGTCCGGCTTGCCTGGCTTCACCGAGGCCAAGGAGTGCGATAAGCCGTGTATGAACGGCCAGTGTAACACCGCCACTGGCGAATGTGTATGTTTCCCCGGCTGGGTTGGGGACCAATGCCAGCACTGCGGAGGGCGATTCAGGTAATGTAAAACATACTGGCAGATTATAGCCTACTGTTAGCAGTGACATAAGCTGAATGTGGAGTCTACGTCTGCCTTGTTTTGCGCCAAATATTTGCTAATTCAGACCTGACAGTCCTTGTCTGGAGATGGCGAGCAGCCCGCACTCGAGGCGTTCAAGTACCGGTCTGCTACTACCTCTGCCCCAGCTACAAGCGAAGCGGTTCCCCCCAAAGGCCACAGTCCTCCTTGTTTAAATGCAGCATGTGTTTGCTGAATGGTTCAAGTGTGTGGATTGGACGGCTATGCCTGTGTGAATGGGGTATTTAACATTTGACCAACATTGAGCTTCAGAGCTTTTTAATCCGAATTAGTGTCACATCTTGCCACTCATTCACGCAGATCGGAAGTATTCTGGCCACACTAAAGTCACATCATCAGCCTGTTTTCGTACACACCATTTCTTGACTAAGATCACCTATCAGAAAGGACAGAACCATGAGGAGTAGCCGGGCTGCATGTTTCCTCTGTAGTCTGACATTATTCTTTAGAAAATCTGACAGCACAGACAGACGTGTCATCTATTTTTATGTATTTTCTGCCCCCCAAAACCATTTTGACTTGTAACCACAGTGCACTCTCTGCTAGCCTTTATTTTGTTTTCAATCTAACCAAGTAATTTATCTCTGACTAAACCAGACTGCTGTTCTGTTGGTAGTGTCCCACTTTTTCAGGCCAGTAGGTGAGACGCTTCGCATTCTTCAGCTTCACGGGACTCTTTGAAAAGCTGCCTGCATGATGTTTGGCCCACTGAAACGTTCACATAACTGATATTGTGTGCTGATGCCAGGACAGCAGCAGCTCAGGGTCAAAGTATGGGATGGGGGGGTGGCGGCATTGAAGCACTTTGTGCTTTTATAGCTTTTATATGTGAGATGCCCAGGTTAGTGAGAGGTGGGAGGAAGGTACCACTTGACAAACCCATTATTGCATCATCTCTCACTCGCCCCCCACACCCCCCTCGTATCTGCCCACATCTGTGTTGGCTTTCTTTAACTCTGATTTAAACCATGAGTGCCACTAGTTTGTGTACGAGTGTGTGAATGCCAAAGCTGTACATTTTCGAAAGTTGTAAACTGGCAATTATTACCGCTGTGCCCGTCCTCCGTTCCCACTTTACTGTCACTTTGCATTACTGGAGTTTGTCCTCTGATCTGGAAATTATCCCCAGTACTTGATGACAGTTTCACTCGGAATCAGTCACAGCTATATTATTGATCACTTTCCATAGCATCGCGCCCTTCTGCTCATCCTTCAACTATGACATTTAGCAAGCATCGAATTAGAAAAACATCTTGTTCCCCAAATTATTATTTTTTCCCTAACAGAGCTCAAATGTGACCTCTTGAAGTAATTTTACACTTCTGCTTTCTTTCTTTTCGCTGTTAAGCAAGGTGATCTTGTTCTGATGAGCTAGCATGTCTGTGCAGCTAAGAACGTGTGAGTCAGGTCCACCCTGTAGGCAGCGGATTTTCTTCTCTTTTTTCGTAAAGGGAGTCCAGAGCATTTTATTTAATACTGTGTCATGCTGCCTCTGCTTGTGATCAGACTTGCCAGGTCATAAAGCAGAGCCAGCGGGAGGCCTGCTGTGTTATGCGTGCTCACAAGTCGGTCATGATGAAGGGAAGGGAAGCTGGAACAATTTCCACATTAGTGCAGCCGATTGGTGAGCACATCTGAGCAGGTGAAATGGAGGCTGAATGGCTGCTGAGCTTCTAATGTTTCAGAACACTGGGCTTAAGTGGTCTCTGGGTGAAATGGCTCATCTTGGCTGTGAATAAAAACTGTGATTCTGTTGCACTCGAGTATCAGCCTCGACAGTCTATCAGTGTGGGAAATCATCGCTGACCACCAGCTGCATTCAGGGTACCCGTCTCTAAGAACGCTGGGTTTGAATGGAGTTAAACTATGTTTATTAATATTAATGATTCTTTTCTCATTAGTTAGTAATGTGTAATAGAGAAGAGGCTAAAGTCAATGGAATTTGCTTATTTTGTCCTAAACAGCTGACAAACCCAGTGGTTGGCTTTTATGTAGATCTTTATTTGTACGCCACGCTCTTTTATTGTAGGGTGGTGGTTGACTGGCATGCATTAAAAGTATAAGACATACTCTTTCAGTTGCCCTTGATCAAAATACCAAAGCTTTAGGTTCTTTTTCAGGACTGCTTTAATACAACCCAGGGGGTCAACTGCTAGGATGAACCTCCCTACGGGGCTCATTAAAGTTAATCTGTTTTTTCTAAGGCTGCTACTTTGTCTTTTCCAGCTTCTTTTAAAAGCTTCATCCTGGCATGTAAGTGACCATAGCTAAAAACTCTGCTGATAAGTGGAAAAAAACAGAGATCTCTCTTTGCTTCACAGTGCTGCCAGACTGATTGTGGTGCTGCTTGTCTGACTGTGAACTTCGCTAATAGCAGAACAGGCCACTCTGTAATGTTCAGCTGTCAGCGCTCCTGTGTCAGTGGGTCCAGCATTAAAAGTGACACTGAAGCCACATCACCCTAGGCTAATCATCTTGAAGTGGAACGGTAAACGTACTGCTGCTGTGATTCCAGATTTGCTTGGAATCGGCGCTGTGTTACTTTGTTAACACGGTCAAAGTGCTGATAGTTTTTCACGGAGAGCCTGTGGTCTGAGGCCGTGTTTAGCATACAGACAATGCTGCCATACAAGGCTCGGTGAATGCTGGTAAAAGCAGCTTTCTGTGGCAGGGGTGTGCCAAAATGGAGTCCCTATTCTAGCTTTGAGGGCCAAAAATCAACATGAAGAAGGGGGTCGTTGTTGTTCTTCTTTTGATATACACTACTGTGCAAAAGCCTTGAAGCACTCCTCATTTCTTTTGTTTTAGAGTGGTCTTAACATTAGGTCTCCAGGCTTTCTGGGTTTTTCTTTGCACATCCTTTTCACTCATTTTCAGTCCAGTTCTTGTTCATGGACATTTTCAGGGGATTTTTATTTTTTTTGGAGCCACTTAATGCTGACTTATGAATCATCCAAGTATTAAAAAAACACCCAAAACAAGAGACGCACTACTGTTGTCTGCACATGACAGAAAACTTGATTTGTATCTTTAGGCGCTTTGTTACTAGCAGCCTTCTGGGGAAAAAAACCCGCAAAATTAATTCAAATTTCATTACACAAATCTCTGAAAAATCCCAAAGATCACGGTTTGACCGAGACGGAATATTATTTTTGCACCGACAAAGTGATTCCTAAACAATAATTAGCTGCACGCTTAGCATATCTCTACAAGGTGTACTGTTTATTCTTAAATATATGGAGGAAGCTGGACTAGTGGAGGACAAAAGAAGGCCTAAAAATCTGTCTACGGCAAATAAACTGAAAGTAAGATGAGAGAAAAGACTGAGGTATGCATAATGACACAAGAACTGGACTTCCAACTGATCAAACACACACATCCACACATGTGCAATAACACTAAGTGCAATACTCTTTTTCTGACAAAGTTGTATTTTGACTCAGTTGTATAAAGCATTTGTATTCTATTTTTATCCTATTGTATATTTTAATCTACTGTATATAGTATTTTATTTTATTCTATTCTGTACAGTTGTGTACACTATTTTATTCTTATTGTATTCTAATTTTTGCTATATAACCTTTGCACTGTCCACTTCCTGCTGTGACAAAACAAATTTCCCACGTGTGGGACTAATAAAGCTTATCTTATCTTATCTTATCTTAAAAACAGTAACAACAGGTCTTGCAGAATAATTGATCGAAATTTGAAGTTTCAACATGTGTCGATTGTGTAGAGTTACAATAATGACTGTTTGCAGCCATCTGTAAAACGCACTGGATGCTCTGTCGTGGTTTGGGGCTGCATTACAGTCATTGGTGTTGAGGATCTTGTTGAACTTGATGGATCTAAGAGGGCAGATTCTGGTGATCCATGCCATACCATTGGGTAAGCATCCGATTGTCAATGGTTTATTTATGGATTGACCTCCCTAGAGCAAGGACCTGAACATTATTGTAGCAGTGTTCGGTCATCTTTACAGAGAACAGAAGAAATGCAGCCAACATCCAAAGAAGAGCTTTGAATGTTCTTCAAGAAGCCTTGAAGGCCACTAACAAAGTACAGGTTCCTTATTTAATTCTTCATATTTGAAATTAAAACATTCAATTACAAATGCTTGCTGTCTTTAAAATCTATTGTTCAACGATTCTACTATACGCCCCTGGGTGTGCGAGGTCCACAGAGGATTAAAGCAAATGGATAATAAAAAAAAAAAAGAGTCTTTATCTTTAGCTTGAGACTTTATCACAACCCTTTAACTTCTTATTTCTAATAATTTCTTCTGACAATTCACATCTTACATGTGGGCATCTGCGTATGTTCCACCTTTGGAATCAGGAGGGACCTGTCAGTTGGTAATAACTGTTAGTGAGTTAAATTTTCTTTAAAAGTATTTGGAAAGGTTTTGTAACACCCCCCCCGCCCCCCCACCCCCATAACTGTTGATGCTGACAAAACTAATGTTTAAGAAAAGATAAGATCAGACTTTATTGATTCCATGGCGGGGAAATTTTAATTTGAAGTATCTTATAAATATTTATCAGAATTTTATATTTTAAACACATTAAAAACCTTTTTCCGCTCAAATTAAATTTCTCCCCAAGTCCCACAGCAAGCAGCCCACAGCTTGATAGCATGTCCACCATGCTGGATTGGTGTTCCTATACTGGCAAACTCTTTTCTTCTCCAACCAATATGATCGCCATTACGGCCAAACAGTCAAAGACAAGAGCAATAAAAAATTGTAAGATCTTTGTTTGCATGAACGGTCATGAGACAGGACTGGTTTAATTCTGAACACTTGACTTCTCCAGAATCTTGTTTAGGTGCTTTTAAAAATTGTTCTCAGAGACAGATTCGCCTCCTTTCTAAGTGCTGTAATGGCTGCAGATTTCTACTTGAAGACTCTTAGACACAAA